TCTAAACCACACTGTGCACAGAAGTTGAATGTTCCCATTTTGACCTTGCTAGTGCAGGGAACTAAAGTTGGCAGCGTTAGTTGCTCCATCTGTGCATCCATAACCCAAAGAAGCTAATCGGTGGGTGGAGTCCTTGGAATGGAATGAAAACCTGCAGTTGTTGGCTGTCCATTTGACACTGATGGCAGCCCCCGCTCTCACGTCAGCCCAGTTGGATGAGTACAGTTACATTCCCCAAGTGATAAACTCTTGATATTTCAGTGACCCCATCCATAGTCTGTGTCCCACCTTCCTTTATTCTCAGTGCAGAATAAATCAGTTTTATCACGATGCTAATGATGATGCTACACTTTTTCTTCTAATAGAAGCATAGGATTGGTAGTATCTCATGACATAGGCAGTATTTTATTTTTGGTGTGTGTGTGTGTGTGTGTGAGAACCCAGTGTTACCACATGCTATTTATAGTGGCAGGGTACAGCCTTGAATTATACAACAGCATATTGTCGGGTAGAATTAAGGACAATGAACTGCAAAATATGGATCTGTGTGTGTGTGTGTGTGTGTGTGTGTGTGTGTGTGTGTGTGTGTGTGCATACAAAGCAGTGAAGGAGAGCACACTTGTAAATGTGTATGTTTGAGGTAAGGAAGGGCCTCATTGTGTTTGTGTGTGCAAAAGCAGTATTATCATATTCACATCTGCATCGTGGAGCCACTGATAGGTGACAGCCCTAACTAGCTCCACATCATGTCAGGCAGGTAGCACCAAACACTGTACTCCCTAGTGGCTGAGAACTCTGGAATGAGGGTCAGTGTCAGGGAGCAGACCAACTGATTCATAGCTGTAGGGGGAGGAGAGGGGCAGTTCATGCTGTGCAAGTAGCATTGGAGGTTAAATCTACTTCATATATTCTTCAGCTGACATTTGGAGGCCATGCTAATGTGGATTAATAATAATAAACCTTCCACAGCTGCACAGAAGAAGTACAAATGTGTGCAGAAACACTTTGAGTAACTAAGAAAATTTTTTCCCATTCAGTGCATACACTACCATATATTAACACTCGCACACACAGAACAAAGGGGTAGGAAGCTGTCCTGACAGGAAATTGGATTGTTCCATCGAGTACTGTGCAGTGCGGCATTATTGATTTAGTGAGGCATTTCTGTCTTGATCCAACCAAGCAGCCGGATAGACAGCACCAGCACCTGTCACTAATTACAGGTTCAGATTCACATTTACTGTCATTCCCGCACATATACATAACAAACATACAGGGAAACAAAATGTTCTTTCTCGTGGACCCCAGTGCAACATAGGACTGATATTGAGGACAAGTGTAAAACAATACATTGACACAAAGAGCCAAATGATTGTTGACTAAAACTAAAGATAGTAAACTAAAGGTGACACTGTAGAGAAGGGTGTGAGTCGGCCTCCTTAGCAGCAGCAGCCTGGATGTTTTTTTCTTCTTGTAACATACTGGGCATGCTGCATTATTCCTTGTTAATATAAGCATGGAGTCCACCACTATGTGTTACTGGACAGTGATGATTCCCTGTCAGTAGCAAGTTAGCCTGTCCACCTGCCAGTCTCCATCTTAGCAGCTTGTTTTTAGTCGATGGCAAGTAATACGATAAAAACACTGAAATGTTTGGTCCACGAGTGGCCACTGTCTCTCCACACGCTGCCAGGGCAATCATTCTCTTAAGCCACTGGAATCCACTGTCAGGCTTTTGCAAAAAACCGCCGGCAAGTGCTGCTGGTAGAAAAATAGCTACTTGATCTCAACCTCAAACCTCCAGTGTAAAGGTTTGTGCTAATGCTTCCAATAAATGGTCAGTTTGTAAGTGATCAAAAGTTCAGATTTATTATACCAGTCTTCACAGCTCACCATTCCCCTGTTCCTGTATTGTCCACAAAAAGCCCAAACACAGACTGGGCGCAAAGGCTGAGGCGAGGCAAGGCACGGCACAAACACAATCAAAAACTCAAGGTTTCTCCAACACACAGAGAAACAACATGTAATGCCTGTTACCCCACTTGGTTGTCAGTGGTGTCATCATGAACAAGCGCAAATACACAGGGGTGACAAATCAAAGAAAGAACCTAAAGAATTGAGAGCGTTTTCCAATGACCGTGCCCCATCCATAGGATGCAAGGGGTCACAGTTGAACACCTGTCGGAGATTATGGGAGCGACATGTTAGACAGCACCTCCACCACCATTACGAAACGTACGTCTCTAGATGTCAGTTGCATAAATGTGTAGGAAGCAGTTACATTACCAGCAGATTATGTTTGCCATTTTAGCAGCCCAGGTTTTCACAGCGTCGGTATCTTTGAAATATTGATTTATAAAGGTTACTGGTTCGATAAAATAATGTGACAGTTTTTCTTCAGTAAACCATGATGTCATTTGTGGTATAAACCTGTTTTACTTTGCTAGTGTTGTACCTGGGCTGAGGAAGCCTTTGCTTCAGATGTCAGGGTTAGAAATATTTATGCTCCTGCCTCAGGGTCAAGGCTGCGGTCAGGTCGAGAACAGCAGACACCCAGGGCCCCGGTACGCTACAGATTGAATATGGAAACCCAACAATAAGGAACGTCATAATGCCTGCATTACTCTTGCGCTTGACCCTAAATGTGTCAAGCTTTACCACACGTCCCTTCCTCTGCTGCTCTTCTTCCCTCAGTTGCTCTGTGGAATAATGAGTGGACAGCATTCGCCTCAAAGGGCGCAGAGTTTATCAGTCAGCCAGGTCACTTGATCAGAGGACTTCATCTGACTCCACATAGTGAAGCTGGCAAATGTTGTGTGTAGGTGGCTTCATGTTCTGCATCTGTGTGTGCACATACATTTGCATAAAGACTTGTATTTCCTGAAAGGTCATTTGTCAAGCCATAATCTTCAGTTTGCTCATGACAGTTTGCACAAAGAGCTCCCTTTTACCTTGTGACTATTAGCGATGTCCAAACATCAGAAGTTATACGGCTGCTGGCCCTCGCCACGTGGAGCCCCAGGGAAAACACCCCTTTCTGTGCTTCTGTGTTCGTCATTCTTATAGGTTTTTTTTTATATGGTTTCTACGTCTGAATTCCTGTACCGTCTCACCTTCATAAAAGCTTCAGCAGCCGATGTTTACCACACACCTGTGACCTTGAAACACCCCCTTTCAGCTAGGAGCCATCAGTCACCACCATGGATGTAACATCTTAAGCAGTCGAGGGAATCGGGTGTTGGGTGGGAGGAGCAATACTCGGAGGAAGAGATGGGAAGTAGCAAGAAAGATGGAGCGAGCAGAGGGAGCTATAGAAGTCAGTGAGATTAAAGCCATCCTGAAACCCTCCCTGCTGCCTCTCCTCCCCCTGGTTAACAGCAAATCAGCAGCGACCAGAATAACAATCCACTGCCTCCACCAGCAGAGCTGCAGCGGCACACACATCCACTACAGCACTCACCGCATACTGATGGCTTGGCCCTGGCGACTGTTGCTAGGAAGTCAAATGGAGGGGTAGGAAAGCAGGGGGCCTGGGTGTAGCTAACTGACAATACAACTCAAGAACCAGTGCACTGTGCATAAATCAATGTAAAGCAAAGTTGGCATATCAATAAAGTTTTTGTGTTAGTGTGATAACTCGGATTCAGAAACTCATGCATGTATTAGATTTATGAAACGCTGGGACAAGCACTTACTATTTGCAAAATTGAAACATTTCCAAATGGCATAGCCACCTCTTCTCCTTAGTACTTAGTCATTGTTTACTCACACAGCCTGATACACAAGGCCTGTGTGAATTCTAGAAAATTCTCATTATTGTTTACAGTCGATATCGTCTGTAATGGAAGTAAGAACTAGATCCTCTGAATGAGAATAAAACCAGCTGTAAGCAGATAAGCTACAAATTGCAGGCTTGTTTGCCGTAGTAAGTTATTTGTGACCATTCTGATATCTTTCCATCCTGACAATACCGCTTTGCTGTGTCACCCTGTTGTTGACCACTGCCCTGTCATGTGTTTGCAGGTGATTCACAAACATTTCTACCTGAAGCGAACTGAGATCATGTCTCAGTGTGAGGAGTGGATCACAGACATCCAGCAGTACAGCAGTGACAAAAGGGTCGGCCGCACCATGTCCCATCATGCTGCTGCGCTAAAGGTAAAGGCGTTAAATGTACTGAACGTAGTAGACTGTGGCAGAGCCATACAATCCACATGTTGATCGTGTTCTCTGGAGGTGGTGCACAGCCTGAGCTCTGTACAGCATGGCACGGTTTCCCTGCTGCTGATTCTGACTGCCGTGACCGGAGTTAATGGCAAAAGTTGGTTTTGGGTCACACTGCTCACTTGGCTGAAGATTGTAAAGACTTGGATGATTCGAATTATTTCTGTTGAGATTGATAAATGAACTGGATGTAAAATAATGAATGATACTGGTGTACTTGTTACATTACTTAAGAGGGTTGGAGTGAGTGACTCACTCTGTACAGCTTGAATGAGGACACCCTCACTGAAGCTGAACACGTTTAGCTGTCCTCACCACTGTCTTGATTACCTAATGATGCCATGTTTCAGCAGCGCTGTTGGTATCATTCTTATCCAAAAACACATATCCAGGGAGAACATGCCAACTCCGCACAGAAAGGTCACAAACCTGGAACCTTCTTGCTGTGAGGCAAGAGCGCTAACCACCGCGCCACCGTGCTGCCCCAGATGATAAAAAGCTACTTTTCAAAAATGAGAGCACCCTGTTAAAAGTTCCAGAGTAACACTCCATTTTTAGTGCTAATTAAAAGCCATTGACCAGACGAGTCCGCTCACATACAGTACCCACCGGTGTGAGTGGTCTGCTGTTGAAAGTGGTACATCAGCTGCTAAATCTGCTGATGACACGTGGGAGAGAGCTGTCTGAGAGAGAACGTCACTGCACAAATAAGGACAAGGGCACAAGATGATATTCAAATCATCCTTAGTAAGTTCAAACACTAGCAAAAGTGGTAGAGAAATTCACAAAGTGTGGGGCTGTGACAAGCTCCCTATACTGTTCAGGCTTTCACAGCAATTTCTGCTGAGAGAAGTGCAGGGGAATCGTAAAGTGAGTGTTTTAGAAGTGCCAGAGCAGTGGATGTAACTGTTGCATCACACACAATAAGACATTCCCAGAACAGAAGTGGAATACACAGATGTCATCCATACTGGAAGCCACCGCTAAAGCCATATCGCAACAAAGCCAGTCAGACTTTGCCAAGACCTGTAAAAGCGTTTTGGAAATCCATGCTGTGGCCTGATGCGTGGTCCCCACAGTGCAGCATGGCAGGAGCAGAGCTCTAATGTGGGAATATTTGAGTGCTAGTCGTCATAGTGGTTGGGTGCTCTGTCATCATTACAATGAGTCTAAACATTCTACCAGGGTCACTGCTACATTCTTAAGGAAGGACAAGGCTAAATTGCCACAGTGCTCAAGTATGTCGTAGACATTTGTGGAGAATTTTGAAGAGACAAGTTGAGCTGCGTTTCCACCAGAAAGGAACTAAAGCCCAAGAACTGCCCCCGGAGTAAAATCCTTTGAGTGCGTTGTGATGTGCGTTCCACAGCGGGGCCAAAGCCCACGTAAAAGTAAACAAAGTAGCCCGCTGACATAAAAGCACGATGGTTGGCTGTGGGCTTGTAAGGTAAACGCTTAACACATACCAGCAATGGACGGACTGCAGGCAGAGCTGAATCACTTTGAGTTTATCACTTTTCTGCAGGTGTATGCTCATTTAGCAGGTGTTTTTTATTTTCACTTGCCAATGTTTTATTGCACATACGGTAACAAGTGCAGGGATTGTTATCTTTGAGTAATGTTTCACCTCAGCCAGTGCCATGCTCTCCTCCATGGCCGCCTCCTGCTGTGCTCCTGTGTGTGGAGGAGCTGAGCGCCGCCCTCAGGTCAAACACCAGCAGTAGCCGCTCCATAAACAGCAAAACCATGTTTTTCAATCCACTAATTTCACTCACTGGTGTCTTTGTGTCGGCCTACTGATAAAATGCTTGTTACAAACTGGGAACCCAAGGAACTGACAGTCATTTGCATCAGTGTGTCTAAATCATTCTTCACATTGTCACACTGATTTTACTGGCATATGCGAGTGAAACGCTCTCACAGTGGAGCCCTGTATTTGCCCAATCAGCAACGATCCACACTGAACTCCTTCCTGGAACTAAACTTGGACCGTGGATCCTCCGGTAGAAACGCTGGTAGAGGAACTACAGGAAAAGTTCCTCTGATGGTAACAGGGCTTTAAGGAGGGCCCCCCAACAAACTTCGAGGCACTGAAGGAAGTCACCCTCCCTAAGATTGGAACAGGATAGAACAGGCAGCATTTGATGCCATGAATACTCAGTGTCACACCTAAAAATAAAGGAGGACATACTAAGTCCTAATTGTTTTTAAAATTTAATTGGTGGTGCACTTGCATTTGCAACCCTTGATCTGAGCAAAGCTGCCTGATTTATTCATTTATACTGTATACTTTTCCTTTGTGTGGTTTGATTTTTAGTTACTGAGTCAGTCAAGGCTGACCAGCTACCGGACTTCTGACTTTCAAACCTAGGTTTCCCACTTCTGTGCACATGAGGTTCATGCAGAATACCAGCAGTAAGAAGGCTACCTCAGTGCATGTAAACAGAGCTGGTGTTTGAGCGTGGCCTACTAATAAACAGTGAATTGGCTGCAGGGCACAATGAGCCCTCGACAGGCCGCCTTAATTCACATCCCTAGCTGACCTCCCCGTGAGACGCACACAGGAGCTCATAATATCCAGAGATACAAGCACAGTAACCCACACACACAGACTGTGAGTGGCTGCTATCCCCTCTTCTACCTCTGGCAGTGAATAACCACAATTATTCTTCACTGTAAATAATCCAGCTCCACTGATAAAAGGCCCGAGCGCAGCCAGCTGTTGTCACACAGCTGCAGGCTACGGAGAAGACTCCACATTCCTGTCCTTTAGCTTCCATGTGTGAAAGCAGTTATTTTACATTAAATGTATATTATATTTTTATTATATCACATATTATATTAACTATTGTGTTAATTCTATATTAGATTTACATTATATTACATAGTCAAGATGAAAAGCACCCAAACATACAGTAGTTGATGCTCAGGAGTTTACTGTCTCAGGATAAGAGCTGTGTCATGAATGGAGGTAACGCAGGTTGAAAACACCCACTTCATACATGTGTATGTTGACTGAATGCGCTCTAAGGGTCTACAACTACCCTAGCAACTCTTACCCAGGTGTGCATCATGTTTCCCATGTTCACTATCTTAGTTTAGCATATTAGCTAAACTAACCTTTGCTAATTAGCATTAAACTAAAGTAGAGTTGTAGGTTATAGTTTTGCTGATTTCTAGTAATAAACCAAATATTGGATACATTGGAATTTTCACCTCATGGTGGCATTAGATGAAAAGTCGGGATCACCAAAGTCTGAAGTTGTCCTCTGGGGATCATGAATGCCTATTAATAGGTCAGTAGGGGCCCACAGACCGTTTATGGACCTTGGCCCCCTAACTGTTTAATCTAGCCCTGGAAACACCTCGGCACATTTCAGACACATCTAAATTGCACGTAGACTTAAATACACATAGTTTATTTTATCATAGTACCACAAACATCGTCCTGCTGCACCAAATATGGATTCATCCACCACTGAAAATAGTTCCCAACGAATGCACTATTTTAAATTTTGTTATAAACTAAAGTGGTCAACTGTTTTAGGAGGTTCCTTAGCCTTTTTTAATGTATATATTTGTGAAATGTTTTTAGAGTTACACTTTCCACCAGAGGTAGTGGGGCCGTAGACAGAGTAGGGAGGTTGGGGAGCACTGATCTGTTTCCACTTTGTTGGCTTTGGTCTTTACATGGAATATGTTGACAGTAAGGAAAATACAAAATAAACCTTCTCTTTTAACAACTTGGCTGGACAGGTGGATGGTGTGAAAACTGTGATGTATTCTTTCAATATTTGAGTTAAATCTGACCGTGTGTGTGTGTGTGTGTGTTCTCCCGACAGAGACACACAGCTCAACTTAGAGAGGAACTTCTGAAGCTGCCCTGTCCCGACGGCCTTGAGCCAGATGGTGATGAGTTCTCAGAGAAGAGCGCCACCCTCATCCTCAAAGAGCTGCCCGGTCAGGACGCAGAGAAGCCCGGCAGCAGTCAGGACAGCCACTGCAGCGGGGGCCAGCTATGAGTCCCCGCCCCTCCGGCCCCTTCCTATTGCCCCACAGCATCTCAGACCCACCCACTGTCCTCTTTCTGATTATCACTCTCCAAAAAAACTTCATGGCTTCAGAGCACAAGCCACCACTTTGTTCATAATTGTATGTAAAGATATAATGACAGAATAGCAGAGAATGAGGAGATGCAGGGAAACGGAACACAGTGAGACGAACTCTGAACTATGCTATGCCCTTATTGAAAACAGTCAACAAAAACTTTTATTTACTTGTAAAAGAGTGTAAACATTTTGTGCTTTTTTCCAAATGTGAAATAACCACTGATTGGTATGTTATTACACTTGTTTATGTATACATAAAGGAAGAGGAAAATGAATTATATAAGGGAACTACCTTTAGAGAAGAATGTTTACTGAATGTTAATTTGTTTTTGTTTTTGTTTTGTTTTTTGACTGTTAGAATGAGAACTGTTGTAACCAAGGATATATTGGTCATTCTTTAAAGATACTATTTTAAACAAAAAAGAGCAAGAAAAAGCAAACACACACACACACACACACACACACACACACCAAACAATCTGGTCGTCTGTTGCTGAATTTCTCTCGGATCATATCCACTTGAATAAAAGCTGAGATGGACCTTCTTAATGCTATGTTATCCTTTTACAGACTACAAATTAAAAAGCACCGAGCTCTGGCTAAACATTTCTTGCCTCTTCAAACTTCTCCATGACATTTACTATCCACTCAACTGTAGATCATGACACTGTGTGTCAGAGCCACATGGGAAATGTATTCTGAAGGCTTGTGCATGTGTTTTCTGTGCGTGTGCAACAATCCCCAGTGAGATACAAAGCTGTGATGTGCCTTTGATCTACATCATACCACCAAATACTCCGACAGAGTACCTTTACTGATTTCTTTGCTGTTTCTACAAAATTAAGAGTTCTGCTCCTTCTGACATAAAAACTGCTTTGAACTTTTTTATTATGTTGAACTCCAATGAACAAAGAAATGCACTTTCTATTTTACTCACTCCTTAAAACAGTCACATACTCGTTTTGCTCGGACATTAAATGGAGCTTGAAAGTCTGGATTGTGCGAATGATTCTTTCTGTGTTCAGGGGATTTCAGCCATCTCACCTGAAAAATGGAAAGTCATGAAGAGACGGTGACACTGAACACCTGAGAAAAGATTGTTAGAAATGTTGCATTATTGATGATTTGTCAGTGTCAAATGGGGGGATGCCAGTAAACTGTTATTGACGGGCCTGAAAAAAAAGTCTTACATCCCATTGTCTGGCATTTTTTTATGTATTGTAGATTTTTTAACATATTATTTGAATTAATGGATTTATTTTTTGTGCATTCATCTGCTATTTTAGTGAGAACTTTTCTCTCTCTCTTTCTACGGTGTCCTTTTCTAATCAGAAAACTGGACCTGCACAACTACTAGAATATCAAGTAGCGATAACTAAATAACTCAACAGTGCTGAGAGCAAAATGCTACTGTCAGCATGCTAACATGTTGATGTTCAACGGGTGTTTTGTGCATCGTCTATGTTTAGCATGCTAACTTTTGCTCATTAGCGCACACACAAAGTACAGCTGAGGCTGATGGGAATATCACTGGCTTTTCAGGTGTCCTAAACTAAATTACTGGCAGAAGTTAAAAGGACCAAAACTCTAGATCTTTGTGTTTTTAAAGCAGGAAAGACTTAAGTGTAATTATTAATGATGACCAGTCATCCTCCGGTGTGCCAGTGTCGGCACCAAGCTTCACAGCAATCATCCACTACTTACTGAAATATAAAAGACAGACATTACCATCCTGAAAGCCATGCTGTTAGCACAGAACAATTACCACTGTGTGGGCATGGTTTGACTGACGGTGACCAACAACCCCACAAGAAAATATACATCACTCATTGAAAGGCTTTTAGTCCCATGTAAGTGAGTTCATCTTAAAGAAAGTGTCAGACTCTTAGGAGGGCCACTTTAATCTTTAGGGAGAAGTCTCTTATATGAATGTTCCTAAGTCCTCAGTTGACCCGGAGCGAGGATACAAAGGGCCATCCTTTGTGGAAGTTTTCTGAATGAGTGCTCAGACTGTACGTCTAAACAACCCTGGAGCCAGTGGATTCGTTGACAGGGCCACAAAAGTTCTGTTCAGACAAGATGACCACATCTTCAAAATTGATGTAAACCACTGACTGTATAGTCTTTGATGTGAACCAAAAAAACACTTTGAGCCATTTCATTTTGTGTAGGTGCCAATATTTTTCCTGATCCTTTTGGTCCTGACACCGCTCTGATGACACGTTGCACAGTGTGTTGCTGCCAGAGCTTGATTAACCTTGTCCACAGACAGTATATGAATATATTATGCAGTCTGTGGCCTTGTTTAATTGATTCTGTTCACTAAACGTAATGTGGTATCATTCGTGTCATGTTATGTTGTTGTCTTTGTACTCGTGCAAGTGCAATGAACAAATTTTGGATGGTGGATCTGCTGACTTTGCAAGATAGCCAACCCAATTTCTGACATACCAGAAATCCATCTGATCATTTGGGAGCTAGATTATTGGTCATTTGGGTGATTGGGACTGTGCTCACACAGTACATCAAATGGTAACTGATCAGATCAAAATTTGTCCTGATTCTAAAATTCATAGTCAGTGCTTGGCTTTATGTGTCATCATTTACCTCACTTTTACTTGCATCTTAATCCTGTTCACATACAGTCAGAAGTTCACATACATTCATTCATTTTCTACCGCTTAATCCCTGAGCGGGGTCACAGGGGGGGCCGGAGCCAATCCCGGCCGGCAAGCGGGCGAAGGCGGGGTACACCCTGGACAGGTTGCCAATCCATTGCAGGGCTAACACATAGACAAACAACCACACACGTACTCCTATGGGCAATTTAGAGACACCAATCAACCTAGGCTGCATGTCTTTGGACTGTGGGAGGAAGCCGGAGTACCCGGAGAGAACCCACGCAAGCACGGGGAGAACATGCAAACTCCACACAGAAAGGTCCTAGGTGGGGCCCGAACCTGGAACCTTCGCGCTGTGAGGCAACGGCGCTAACCACTGTGCCACCGTGCTGCCCAAGTTCACATACACCTCAGCCAAATACATTTAAACTCAGTGTGTCACATCTCCTGACACTTAATCATAGAAACTGGGTAACTCAGGCTCAGACGTTTCAGGATGCCTTCAACAAGCTTCTTCCAACAAGTTGCTGGAATTTTAGCCCATTGCTCCTGGTGGAACTGGGTCAGGTTTGGAGGCCTCCTTGCTCTCACATGCTTTTTCAGTTCTGCCCACAGATTTTCTATTGGATTGAGGTCAGGGCTTTGTGACGGCCACTCCAGTACCTTGAAGCCATGTTGCTACAACTTTGGAAGTCTGTTTGGGGTCATTGTCCATTTAGACTAGACCCATTTGTGACCAGGCTTTAACTTCCTGTCTGTTGTCTTGAGATGTTGCTTCAGTGTATCCACATAATCTTCCTTCCTCATGATGTGAAGTGCCCCAGTTCACCCCCCCACAACATAATGCTGCCACCCCCATGCTTCACATTTGGGATGGTGGTCTTTGGCTCATGAGTCTCCGCCTTTCTCCTCCAGACATTACAATGGTCATTATGGCCAGACAATTCAATTGTTGTTTCATGAGACATTTCTCCAGAAAGTCAGATCTTTCTCCCCATGTGCAGCTGCAAACCATAGTCTGCCTTTTTATGGCATCTTGGAGCAGTGGCTTCTTCCTCGCTGAGCTGCCTTTCAGGTTATGTTGATACAGGACTGGTTTTACTGTGGATACAGATACTTTGGTACCTGTTTTCTCGAGTGTTTTCACAAGGTCCTTTGCTGTTGTTCTGGGATTGATTTGTACTCTTCAGACCAAAGTATGTTCGTCTCTAAGAGACAGAACATGTCTCCTTCCTGAAGGTAGGCCTTGTGTATGTGAAGATGTGACCCACTGGAATTTGTGATATAGTGAATTATAAGTGAAATAGTCTATCTGTAAAAAACTGTTGGAAAAATTACAGCTGCAAGATGCGAGGAGAGAGCACTCAAACATTATTAATGACATGAGTTGTCCTTCTATCCTACATCTGAAGCATCCAGTCAGCAACTGATTTCCCATAAAAGACTTCCACAAAGGATGGTCTCGTGAAGCCTCACTCATGGCTCCTCCAGCCAGCCTCCTCACTCCTTGATCCTTGCTCCTTGGGATGTCTTTCAAGGTAGCAGACTGCTATGACATCTGGGTGAGCAAGGAGGAAAGGGGAAAAAGGTAATTGGAATTTACCCCACAGTCAGCTTCCCACAAAGTTCCTCTTACCTACTTCCTACCTTAACTCCACCTACAGACTCACTGGAATACAGGACAAACAGGATATGATGTAACCTTGCTGATTACTTTAACCAGCAAGACTAAATTGAAACTGTTTGTACTGCCATACCTGAGCTGTGAGGAAACACCTTTCTTTGCAGAATAGGATGCAAGCAGGATACATGAGACCATCCTTCATGGAAGAGTCATTTCTGGATTGACACACCCATTTATTAGAAAACAGCTGGTGATTGGATGCTTCAGAGGAAGGGTCATCTCTGTCTACCCTCAACAGGATGCCAGTCTATCACAGGACGAAGGGTCATCTCCTGTTTATAAAAACATGTTTCCTCAATCCCGCTCTCCTCACAATTTTGCCTTTGCATCATTTCCTTGCATCTTAATGTGAGTAGGACTAAAACACATGGATATACGCAAATGAGGGAAAAATGAATGCAGTTAAGGGAAGTGGGATTTACCCATGGTCTTTGTGGTCTCTGAACCCCCAGAGGGTATCCAACTTTACAAGGGGAGCCAAGGATGAACTAGATAATAGAGCCCGAGGTTTCTTTTAGTAGTAGGTGTTTTAAATACTACCTGTTTTAATGCCATAGCTATGTATTATTTCTATGACATGTTTTTTTATGTTAGCTATTGTATTGTTACATATAGTATATAACACTGAAATGAGTTACAAGTGCGACTTGCTCATGAGAAGACTACCTTTGGGACCTTGGGAATTACCACCAGTGAAACATGGAAACTTGAATCCTCCACTGGCTGAGCTGCAGCATCAGCAGCTCCTTTACTGCTGGAAACAGAACTAACACAGTGAACAGGAAAACTCGCTTGTATGTTTCACTTGCATAAAAATGACTTGGTGAAGAAGTTCTGCCCCTGCAGGACTGAATTTTTTCTTTTCTCTTTTCTCTCTTTTCTCCATTTGCATGAGTGTCACTTTATAACCAAGTGCATGCACAAACTGCATTTCTACACTTGCTTTGCATGTAACCAGATTAAAGGATGGTTCAAACTGTGGAGCTGGTGTTTTTGAAAACATAAAACATTTGTATATGATTTAAAAAAAACAAAGTTGATGTTCAGTGCATTTACAAGCTTCTACAGACGTGAACAAAATTGTTGGTACCCTTCTGTTAAACAAAGAGAAACTCACAATGGTCAATGAAATAATATGAAACTGAAAAAAGTAGTAATAAATAAAAATGTATTGAAAATTAACTAATGAAAATCAGTCATTGCTTTTGAATTGTGGTTCAACAGAAGCATTTTAAAAACCAAACTAATGAAACTGGCCTGGACAAAAATGATGGTACCCCTAGAAAGGATTGATAATAATGTGACCACAGAGACATGTTAAACTAAAGTGTGTCCTCTAATTAGCATCACAGGTGTTTTCAGACTTGTAATCAGTCAGTCTGCCTATTTAGAGGGTGAAAAGTAGTCACTGTGCTGTTTGGTATCATGGTGTGTACCACACTGAACATGGACCACAGAAAGCTGAGGAGAGAGTTGTCTCAGGAGATTAGAAAGAAAATTATAGACAAACATGTTAAAGGTAAAGGCTATAAGACCATCTCCAAGCAGTGCCATGTTCCTGTGGCTACATTGGCACATATTATTCAAAAGTTTAAGGTCCACGGCACTGTAGCCAACCTCCCTGGACGTGGCCGCAAGAGGAAAATTGATGACAAATTGAACAGACGGATAATGCGAATGGTAACCAA